TTGCCATGCTACATGACCTGAGTTCGATCCGTGTGGAGATCAACTCTTTTGGTCATTTTCAGTATTTTCCATGTTTTCACATTTTCTTTCTCTTTTTCCTTGGTTTATCACGCGTGCGCCTGTGGCTGGTTTGGCAAGATTTTGATCTTGTAACCACAAGGTGGTGGGTTCAACACCCACCAAGCGCATCCATTTATTTTAATTACCAAAATGTTTGTTTTTCTTTTAAAATTCAAAATAGCACAACTTTGTCAATTTTCATCATTTTTGATTGGTTCTTTTTGCAATTGTCTTGTTTTTTTTGCATATTTTCATATGGTATTTAAATATTCTAGAATTTTCATTTTGAAAAACACTTTGCATTAAAATAAATCATGCTTCATTTTTAGGGTTTTTACCCTCCTCTCTTGCAATCTTTCCATTCAAAACTTTTGATTCCTCTTTCTTAAGCTTGATGTTTGTCAACTCTTTTGTGTGTGTGATTTTTGATTTCAACTTTTGCTTGTAAGAATCATGATTGTTTCATTTTATTTCCATTTAAAATCCCCATAAAATTTTGAACTGTTTATCAAGTTATAACTTGTTTGCATTGGTTGTTACATTTATCTTTATCAAGATATGTCTTTGGTTTTCACCCTTTGTGCTTATGTCTTGTAAGAACCCCTTCTTGATGTTGTGATATCCTTATACCTTATTTTGGTTGTAACCATCCATCTTGATTGTAATCCCTGCTTGATATTGTAATATCTTGATGTTTGCTTTGGTTGTGACCATCTATCTTGATTGAAATCATTGATATTGTAGTATTTTGATGTTTGCTTTGGTTGTGACCATTTACCTTGATTGAAATCATTTGATATCATAATATCTTGATGTTTGCTTTGGTCATAACCATTTATCTTGATTGAAATCATGGCATTGAAATTGTAATATGCTTGCTTGCTCTTGGTTGTAACCATATCCCTTATACCCATCATGTGTGAATGCTTATGCTTTGTTAAGTTTACTTTCCCCAAGTGATGGAACTCTTTAGTTCTCATCCAAGTTGCCTAATCTTTTTCCTTCCAAAGGAAAGTCTCTCTATTGACCTTTGGGTCATAGATAGCTCATTCTCCCCCTTTTGGCCTAGATAGAACCAATAGGATTTAAACTCATAGGTCTGGATAAAACCTTCTCCCCCTTTTGGTCTGGATAGAACCAATATGATTTAAACTCATAGGTCTGGATAGAACCTTCCCCCCCTTTTGTTCTGGATAGAACCAATAGGATTTAAACTCATAGGTCTGAATAGAACCTTCTCCCCCTTTTGGTCTGGATAGAACCAATAGGATTTAAATTCATAGGTCTGGATAGAACCTTCTCCCCCTTTCGGCATGGATAGAACCAATAGGATTTAAACTCATAAGTCTGGATAAAACCTTCTCCCCCTGTTGGTCTGGATAGAACCAATAGGATTTAAACTCATAGGTCTGGATATAACCTTCCCCCCTTTTTGGTCTGGATAGAACCAATATGAGTTAAACTCATAGGTCTGGATAGAACCTTCTCCCTCTTTTTGGTCTGGAAAGAACCAATTGATCCTTATTCTGTAGTTTGTGCCCAAACTACGACCGCTCTGATTTCTCATTGGATAATGAGAATACGTAGACCCAAGATGCGATATCTTAACGAGCAACCTTCCCCCTTCTTCCACCTTTTGGTATGGATAGAACCATTTGGTCTTACAACGTAAAATTAGGTAGAGTTTGGTTAACTCTATGTAAGGATCATGGAAATGATTACTTACTCCCCTTTCTTGAGTGTACAATGTAGATCTAGAGAGAGATTGGATAAACTCTACACAAGCATGGATATGTTTGTTCCCCTTGGAACCTTGATCATAATCAAGTATTCTTCATCTCTAGTGAGGTGAACTACGATTGCTCTGATTCTATCCTAGTAAGGATACGTAGGCAGATGACGCGATGTCTTTTCGAGCAAACTTATAAACTATCTTTAGGTTTTAACCTACACCTTTTACCCTAATCCCAATCCATAGCAAACATTTAGCAAACTTAGCATACAAACAAACAAAAGGTTCCTGTAGAGTACTACAGATGTTTAGGATGTGAGATACCTACCCTAGGCATAACCAACCCCCGAATCTCTTAGCATTGTTGTTACATCGCGCAAAAGGTTCTTTCTTTCTTTAGACCTTTCCTTTGGATAAATTAAAGTCCGGTTGTGAATTTAAGAATTAAGATTCAAGTTAATCAATAGCTTGGTATCACGATTCTCACTGCAACACATACTATCTTTATTTAAGAGCCCTAATGTCACTCTCTAACTAGTACCATTTTGTAAAATTAGACTAATTATACTAATTTTTCAAATGATTCTAAACCTCCTTAATAGTATCATATTTTGCTAGTTGCACACTCATTGACTTAGAAACATGATTATTAATCTAAGTGAGAATCTTCGAACTACTAACATCCTATATTTCCAACTTTTTGCATATGCTTATTTATCTTTTTTACATGTGGACTGAACAAAAGTTCCATCAACATAACTCCACATCCTTTTTTCTTTCAATTTTTTTCATTGCATAATTCCAATAATCACAATTTTTGATGGGTCATCGTGAGGGGGAGTCATTCACATTGGGTTAAGCACTCGCCTAAAGGTCCAAGACTCACTCAAACAAGTGAGAGAGACATCATATATTCACCCAAAACCTTAAGGTGTAGGTGTATGTTCCCTCTTACTTATAAAATACTTAACCTCCACTTTTCTAAGCAATTTGAGACTTAGAACTCACACTTGTTTCTCCACACAATCACACTTGTTTCCAAACAATTTTGTCCATTGAGTTGATCACTAATAGATCGAAGAAAATCATCTTTTTTATTAGCCATTACTATTTTTCTAAAAATTCAATCAAATACAAATGCAGAATGCAAAAGAACTTATATCAATTTTTGTGTGTGAAAAGAAACAAAATTATAAACATAAAATTGACTAGACTAATCAATTGAACGAGTAAGGCAACAAACCGTAACAATAAAATCAAATGTTAATTTTATTATTATAAATATTTCATCGTGTCAATCAAACTCTAATATTATCTTAAAAAAAGAATATTTTTTTTTATAAAAAATCTATTAAAATAAAAAAAATGTATAAAATAAAAATTACTATAAAATATAATACTAGATAATAAAAAAAATTAAACTACTCTTCCTAATATATATTACTAATATATAATATTATATAATACTAACATAATAAATCACTTTAATGAAGAGATCAATAATTTAACCCATTAAATATATACTAGTATTCATCTATAAATTAGACTATTAAACTACATTCACCATGATGGGTTATGATATTTTCTATTTTTTAAATAAATAGAAAATTCTATTTAAAAATAGACAAAAGTTTTAATTTTTAAAAAATAATTAGTAGTAATATCCACTTGATAGTCGGAGATGTCCTATTACTATGTGGCTGTCTATATTGACTAAAACCACTACACAAACATGGCCGATGCCGACCAATAAAACTCATCCATTAGATAAAAACAACAATCATATAAGAATTGTTCTCAAAGAAAAAATATCATTATGAGTAACAAACAATTTTAGTTGTCTCCATCGTCAAATAAGTGTATTGCACACCGTAGTATAGTTTGCTATCAGTGTAATGAATTTGAACCGTTGATCTGAAATAAACAGTTGAGATTGCCAATATATATATTGAATAATAATATTACCGTTCGATACATGATTAACGGTGGAGATTTATTACTACGTCAAACTTTATAAATTAACCATTGCAGGAAATCCAGATCCAGCTGAGTAACTCTATAACTTTTCTATCATGTTATTTGTTGTAAAAAAAAAGAAATACTTGCCGTGTTTTGTTTAAAAAACTTTATTCCTTAGAGTAAAAGAGGCACAAAAGTAAGAAAAAAGAAAATAAAAACAAGAGATATTCGAAAAAGGAATAAAGGAAATTATTCCCATTAGAGAAAGTAAATAATCTCTGAAAAATATTTGATAAAGATGCATGAACTTTCAATGCCAAGTCTTATTCTCTTTGTTATTTGTTGAGATTCCTTCTAAAAGAACTTCTTGATAATCATACAAAAAAAATAAGTATCATTTATCATAAAGCAAAAATTTAATATTTTTTATTTTATTTTATTTATGATCACGAGTTTCTTGTTATTTTTAGGTATTGAATAGTTGCCATTTATTTATTATACTATTTTTCAAGTAGGAAAAGAATATCATTATCCATATACATGTAAAAAAAAAAATCATTTATATATTCATATCAACATGCTACCAAAAAATAATTTTTTTTTATCAGAAGTAACACCTTCAACAGGGGGATGATGACTGCGTCAGGTTAAACCCTACCTGCTGAATCACCCCACGTGGCAACACCCATGTTAAACATAGACAAAGATTCTCAATCAAACGGCCTATATCGCAATATCAAGATCTCGCCGTCCAATCCCAACAACCCCTAGATTCGTAAACCGTTAAAACCGTCACTCACACCGTTAGCAAAAATTAATAATTAAATAATTAAAAAACAAAAATCTGATATAGAAAAAAAAAGCGAGTTTCTTTGGTCTGCTTTGCGTTGTTCGTGTGAGAAAAAGAAAAGTAAGCGTTGAAGTTGAAGTGAAAATTCGCAGGCTCTTCGTCGAAATTTCTCTCAGATTCTTCATTTTCACTTTCGATTTTCATCTTTCTGATAACTTTTCTATCCACTAACCTTCAATCGAATCCTCCCTTTTTGCTTTCGTATTATTCTCTTTTTTAAAGGATTTAACGACGGAATCCGTTAACTGAGCCTTTTTGTATGCTGAGAAAACCAAGGAAGAAGAACTTGAGGTTTTATTTAATAGCGAAGAAAATTATACGATAGTTGCAGTAAGATTATTTTCTTTCCTTTCACTTTCTCTACTAGCAAACAGTGTTTTCGGAAGTGAGAAACTAAGAATGCAAACGAGGTATATGGAGAGATCGAATAGTATGGCGAGGGAGAAACGATGCTTAGATTCAACTTCGACTGCGGAAGATCAGCCTGAAAGGAAACGACCTGCTTTAGCTAGGTGATTTGTTTTCAAATTCTTCGAAATTGATGATTTGTGTGGATTTGATTTTATGTTTGAATCTGTTTTGGGTGAAAAAATGATAGAGAAAGTTGTTTTGATTAATTGAAATGTGAAAATGAAATATTTATAGTTATACGATTTGATTGATTCTAGCTGGTATTCTGTTATTTGAAAGGGAAAAGGAAATTGAGAGTAATTTAGGTATTGTTTTTTTGAGTTTTAAAATTGAAAAAGTTTTGAGCATTTATTCGATGTTATAGAGTATTTGAGCTATGATGCTTCCGGGATATACCTGGCAAAGTTAGTGGAAAGTACATATGAAGAGTATTTGAATGGAATAATATTTGGATTTTCTACTCTATAACATGGAAAGTTAGTGTATGTTTGATTCTGTCGTGAAAAAAAATTGATTTTCAGTGAATTGATTATATAAAATTGATTCTGGTTAATCCAGCTTATACCAAATGCATCAATCAATTAGCACCATCTCTAATTTTGTCGGAGGAAGAGAGAAATCTTCTAAACTTCTAGGCTTTTGTAAACTAAGAAAATTGGCTGCACCTAGAAGTAGTGGGGACATGTTTTTTGTCATATTATTAGTATAGTTTTGTGTTTACATTTTAAACATTTATTTCATGTCTTAATTTTTCTGATGAATGCATTTATTTTTTACCCTCTAACTATCTATGTCAATTTTCAGTGTAATTGTTGAAGCCCTGAAAGTCGACAGTCTGCAGAAACTTTGCTCATCACTGGAGCCTATTTTACGAAGAGTTGTAAGAAAATTAAGTTGATTGTGATATTGGTTTGCTGCCTTCGGGCTATATTATCAAAGTTGTAACATGCATGTGTCACCCAAAGAATCAGCCACTAAAAGTGAAACCGTGTGCTTCTGGTCCATTAGGAAAGAAAAAGAAAAAAACTTGTCATTTAGGTTGGTATACTTTGGCTAGATATCAGTACTTTGAGACTCAGACAAAATTGGGTAGAGAATTAGAGATTTCCTTCGTTTTAAACCTTAACAAGCTGAAATAGGTAAAATATTTGTATCTATATAAATACTCCTTGTGAGAAGGCTCTTGGAATAAGGTAACATTTTTAATTACCTCACTTAGCTGCTAATTTGTAAGATTGTGATAAAGTCAATCATTCTATCCTATGGTGTTTATATGTCTTGTGTTGTAAAAATTAATTCCTTGGAAAAACTCTGTAGCTAAGTGTATATATGTGTGCTACTTGGCATAAATGATGTTTAATCATAGACTTTTGTTTCTTGTTCCTGAACAGGTTAGTGAAGAAGTGGAGCGCGCATTAGCAAAATTAGGCTCAGCCAATCTTAGTGAGAGGTAGCTTTTTTGCCATCCCAGCTCCTTAATATAAATTCTTGCAAGATTTAATCCTATAGCACAACTGGAGTTATTTTTATTCACCATTAGTGTAAAACTTCTTCACACTATTATCCATTTTAGGGCTACCACATCATTAAAAAGTGTTTGACTATGATAACTACTATTTGAGAGACCAAATTCTTTAAATAATATGTCAAATTGTCAAAATTAATCTTATGAAGTCATCATACAGCAAATATGTTCTTCAAATAATTCATTTCTCTTGCTTTGCCTTCATGGCATGATCTCTCCTGCAACTGACTTGTTTTGTTTTCTTGAAATTGGAGTAAGACAGACGGCCTAAACTCAACGGGTGACCCTTTGTAACTTATCAAATTTAAGGACCCAGATATGTTTGATCTGTTTTAGTTTAAATTCAAATATACTTACTCATATATCTTTGCGTGTTGTCTGTGTAGATCTCTTCTTAATGTATTTGTATCTATAACTTATTTTTTCTAATACTCAAAGTAAATACAGATCTTCTCCAAAGCGCATAGAAAGTCCAGATGGAGGAAATTTACAGTTACAATTTAGGACCAGGTTGTCCCTTCCCCTCTTTACTGGTGGGAAAGTGGAGGGCGAGAAGGGCACTGCCATACATATTGTCTTGATTGATGCAAACACAGGCCGTGTTGTCACGTCCGGCCCAGCGTCATGTGTCAGACTAGATGTTATTGTACTTGAAGGGGATTTCAATAATGAGGATGACGATGGTTGGAGTCAAGAAGAATTTGAGAGTCATATTGTGAAAGAGCGAGAAGGGAAACGACCTCTTCTGACTGGTGATCTGCAAGTGACCCTGAAGGAGGGTGTAGGAACACTGGCTGATCTTACATTTACAGACAACTCTAGCTGGATAAGAAGTCGGAAGTTCAGGCTGGGGCTAAAAGTTTCCTCGGGTTGTTGTGAGGGAATGCGCATTCGTGAAGCCAAAACAGAGGCTTTCACTGTTAAAGATCACCGTGGAGAATGTAAGTACATAACTATATTTTTTGTTCTATCTTATCTCTCTTTCCAGATCATATCATAACGAAACTTATACTTGATTGTAGTATACAAGAAACACTATCCGCCTGCCTTGACTGATGAAGTATGGAGATTGGAGAAGATTGGCAAAGACGGATCCTTTCACAAAAGGCTAAATAAAGCAGGAATATGTTCTGTTGAAGACGTCCTTCAACTTGTGGTTAGAGACCCACAGAGATTGCGGAATGTAAGAATCTAGACACTTCTTGTTAGGGGAAGGAATTTTAAAGTTTGATGAAATGTTCAAATCTATCTGGCTCGGGGTTAACTTAGTGATTTAATATTTTATCAATTCAAGTTTCTTATAAGTTCACTATCCTTATGCAGATTCTGGGGAGTGGCATGTCAAATAAAATGTGGGAAGTTCTTGTTGAACATGCAAAGACTTGTGTCCTCAGTGGGAAACTCTATGTATACTATCCTGATGATGCAAGGAATGTTGGTGTTGTTTTCAATAATATCTACGAGTTGAGTGGCCTAATCACTAATGACCAATATTACTCTGCTGATTCTCTCTCTGATACCCAAAAAGTAAGTCAACCAGTACAAAAAATTCTGAGTGTATGTTTGCATTATGATTTTACAGTTGGTTTTCTTCCCTAGTGTGATAAATCTGGTTTCTCTTTGCACTTACTGAAAATGTGAACCATCCTTTTGGATTTTTTGTTGGGTAAAAGCAGCTCTTCATCTTGAACTCCAACTATAAATATTTACTGTTATACACTTAAATTGGATCCCGTCGGTACATGTTATTTTGGTTTTACTCTTGGTACTCTTGTAGTGTAAAATTGCTTGCTAGTTTTAAAATCTTAAGGCATACGGATATCCATGACATGGATTTTCTAATTTTTGTGAACATATCAGATGCACAGGTGGCTTAATATGAATGTATCACTTATTGTTATGTGTTATTAGTTATGCTATACATTCTTCCCTTCTAGGAATGGCATGAAAATAGCTGTTTAAAACATCAAGAAAAGAAAAAGTGAAATTTCTAAACACAATGAGAGTCTCTGTTCTTGTAGGTTTATGTGGACACATTGGTGAAGAAGGCATATGAGAATTGGATACATGTTATCGAGTATGATGGCAAGTCTCTGTTAAATTACAATCAGAACAGGACTTTGGGTACGGCCCAACATCAGGTTCCACTGAGTTCACATGACTATTCTATTTCAAACTCACTTAATCAGCAGATCTCTATCCCAAGTCTACCAGTTCATGTTCCTACAGGACAACCTTCAATGGATGCTAGTATAACAGATGGAGGTATATAGTTCTAATTAAATATTATATTAGCAACAAAAGTAAAATGCTTTTGTATATAATTCTAAGTAAAAAAAAAATTATATTAGCAACAAAAGAAAACAGCTTTTGCAATTTATTTTTGGGTTTTGAAGAGCCTAGTGGTGATGCTCACACACTCAGTGTTGAAAAGTGGGAAATCCTAGGTACAAATTTGCGCCCCTGCATATCAAATGTTCCTGCTCTTTGCACCTGCATCTATCACCTGTGCCGAACTTACAGCTTTTACAATTTTACTTTACGTTATTTCTCTTTTACTTCCCTCTGTTTTTCCTGATGTTTCTCTTCTCAGTGTATTTTTTTTTCCCATTTTTATTCAGTTCATGCACCCACCGCCCTCATTATTTCTCTTCTCAACTTCATTAAGTGGACAGTTCTTCACACACCTTGCTGTTTATTTTAGATTAAGTTAGTAAATAGTACTTTTTTAGTGTGCTTATTGATGTGATTTTCATATAATAGTTTTTTTGTTTGAAATAGAAAATGTTAGTTGTTATTTTATTAGTGGGGGGGAATCGAACTCACAACTTCCTTTCCACTCCAACTGCTATGTTTCTCTCCGAAGCCACCTTATCACTCCTTTCGTATGATAGGTTTGTTCAGTGTTACATTGTGAAAACATGATTTCTTGGGGTTAATATTAGTAAAAGAGAACGGCGCCATCACATGACCAATGTATCAAGTTGATTTAATATTGTTAAAGAGTTCCACATCAGATGAGATATGGTTTGAAAATATGTTTATAAGTGGAGGCATTCCTCATCTTGCAAGTCAGTTTTGTAAGGTTGAATTAGACCCAATCCAAATTCTAAGATGGTATAAGAGCTTATCCGAATTCCGTTGGGCCACCTATTATTAGGTTATCCTTGTCCTTACCACCCACCATTTATATCACGCACCAAACCCAACTGTGCTGGGCTTCCTGGGCATGAGAGAGTTTTTTTTTTTTCGAAATCTTGGTATCCGGCCTTGTGACCGACTAATTCAAGGGGACCAATCCCACTCTCCATTTTCGGGGGCCCCGTTTAAAGACAGAGCAAAACTCGGTATGGACTGACTAACACATGAATTGTTTGCATCTAGCCTCAACCACTAGGCCAACCCATGGGGGTTGAGCGTGAGAGAGTGTGTTAACGAGTCCTTCATTGGATGTAATATGGTCTGGAAATGTGTTTATAACTAGGGGTAATCTTTACCTTACAACCTGATTTTGTAAGTTTGAGTTAACCAACCGAAATATGCATCGATGTTTATAACATTTTTATCGCAAAAGATGTTTGTAGTTTAAAGATTCGTTTCAAACAATAAGTATTTCGGTAGCTGATTACATATGTATAATATCTGTGCAGGTTATCATCATGGTACAACTACCAGATTCTCAATGCAACCACAGAATGCTGATCTTAATTCTGCTCTTCAGTTTGGTAATACTGCCTTCCCTCTACAAAACCTGCTGATGAGTGCTCCACACCAACCTCAACTTCTAAGAAATGAAAATGAGTTGTCACTTGGTCCCCCACAATCAGCCAATCCCGTCTTTCAGACTGCCGGCCTTTCAGATCCTACTTATAGAGGATTTGAAGACTTCTTCCCGGAAGAGGATATTCGAGTTAGAAGTCACGAGATGCTAGAAAATGAAGATATGCAGCATCTGCTCCGTATCTTTGATATGGGAGGGCAACCTCATACTTCCTTTAATGCTCCTGAAGAAGGCCATCCTTATTCATCTGCTTACGTGCCTGCAACCTCCATGAACTACAATATAGATCATGAGCGAAACCGTTCTTCAGGGAAGGCTGTTGTGGGTTGGCTCAAGCTTAAGGCTGCTTTGAGATGGGGTATTTTTATTCGGAAGAAGGCTGCTGAGAGACGGGCACAACTTGTTGAGCTGGATGACTCGTAGAAATATGAAATAGGAGCCATCTCATGTGATGTTACAGGCAACAGTATTTTCGGTTGTAGCACCAAATGCTTCTTTTCTGTCACTTAGAAACTGCTATCATGCCGAAGTTTTGTAGCATCAGTAGACATAATATCTTGATTGGATTATTTTTTGCAGCCTAAACTTAAAGCTCCCACTGTGCCTTCACAATCAGTTGTGCAGCAACCTCTGCTGTACAGGAATATCACCCTGCAACATGTCATATATGCTTTACATATGATGTTTTTTTCACAATTGTCTATCCTGGTTGACAAGGAAATCTGACAGTTTTTACCACCTGGTTCAAACAGACGAGTCTTCAACAGCTTTAAATTCCAAGGTTCTCGATCTGGAAACTCTGAAAACTAGGTTTGTTTGTTGTAGACGTTTAGCAGGATGTAGTGAGTTGTGTTACATATAGGCTACATTACATAGGTTGAAGTTGAACCTAACTTGCGTGTTGTGTAATTTTCTTGCTGTACAATATTTATTATCAACAATAAATTGCTGGGTTTGGAAATGCTGTTTTCTTGTCTGGTTTATTAATTTATTCTTAGAAGAAGTCTGCACCATGCCATTGCCATGTCTGGGGCTACTAATCTATGAAACACCTGACAAAGACAGCAGACAGTATCAATATCCGTAATTTGAAAATGAACAAATTAAATGTAATTATAGGTGTTGCTGTAGCGTCAGTGTTGAGTGTCAGTTAGACTAACATATGTTGAACACCGGACACATTTGCAGAGATGTCAGTGCTGGAGAAGGAGAAATACTACTAATTTAGTGATAATCATCTAGAAAGAGTGCAAAAATGTTATAACTGACCTAGAATGTTCTTGAATAACAAAAGTCAGTTATTCATTTTTTAGCTGAGAATCACTCATCTTAACTTAAGTCATGTGTGAGAGATGATGGCCTTTGAAGTGTTATTGGTGGTAGCTTTGACCAGTAACTGGAGTCTGTGATTTTTGAATGGGTTAGAAATATTGACAAGGGTTTTGTGTTTATTTTAGTAATGGTGAAAATATAAGGAGTTGGTGTGCTGAGCTCTTGACTTCTACCATTACCGTAAGTTTTTGTTACAAAAAAATAAAGAGATTTTGTTCTTGTTCCGCCACCTTCGCGATTATAGCACTCTCTGAAGCTATGCTTTTACCGTTATATTCTTGATGAATTTTTTCGTTTTTTTAAGAAGTTCTGTGATGTACCAGATTTTTATGTTAGAATACCAAATGTTTTTACAAATTTTTTGTTTTCTGGTATTTGATGAATTTATATCAGACTTTTTATAAAGTTTACAGGATTTTATCGATTTTTATGAAGATTTGCCGGATGTTTTCGAAAAAATTAGTATAAATTAATTGATTTCAGATTTCTAGAAATTGTGATGAAATACAAGATTCTTTTTCAAGAAATCCAGTTTAGGCCAATTATTTTTGAAAACTATTCAAAATTTTGTGTAACTATCAATTTTAAAAAAAAAATGATATCCTAAACTAAATACTAGATATATTGAAAAATCTGAAACATTCCAAAGTTTTTTAAAAACTAGCAGGCAGTGGTTTTTCTTTTAATTTTATTTGTTTTTGCTTTTTAAACTAAAATTTTGACATTTTAAATATTAATATATTTTATTAAAAGTATCATTACTGTCACAATTAAAATGATATATATATATATATATATATATATATATATATATATATATATATATATATATATATATATATATATATATATATATATATATATATATATATATATATATATATATATATATATATATATATATATATATATATATATATATATATATATATATATATATATATATATATATATATATATATATAGAATACAATAATATAAATACAAATTAAATTAAATTATGTTGACTTTCTAAGTGAAGCATTCTTCTCTAGCTCTAAACTCTAAATCATAGCCATCGCTGCCACTTCATCTCCCTCAATCTGGATGTGGCATCACTAGATAGAGAAAAAAATGGGTATGTTTTTCAAATGATTTTTGTTACTTTTGTTCTGTTTGATTATTATTAACAATGTATTATTTTTGTTCTAATTGATGACCTGTCTTTTGATTTTTTTTGCTAACTTTATAATTCCCAACTAAATGCCGTATTGATGTATGATCTAGAAGAAAATTTGACATTTATTTGAAATAAGAGAATTAAAGAAAATTTTAAACAGAAGGTCAACTCATTGATTTTACATTTAAATTTCATATTATGTAGCTGTTTGGATTCACATAAGTGAAACTAGCATATTGATGAATGATCTTTGTAATCTTTTTGAAGAGGATATTGTGTAGCTGTTTGGATTCACATAAGTGAAACTAGGATATTAATGTATGATCTTTGTAATCTTTTTGAATATATACGGTGCAAAGGTTCAGTCTTTTCTTTTTTGTGCATTTTTTATATAAACTTTTTAAAAAGGTATCTTTTCATTTATATGAATCGTAGAGATGTCTTTGATACTGCAATTAATATCGTTATGAAATAATGTTTAAGATATTTAAGAAAATAGAGTAAGATCAATTTCTTAATTAATAAGAAAACTACAAAGTTAAAGAAAAGAGATAAGAGAAGAGAAAGAACCGTTAGAACACAGATTGATGTTTAATTATATCTCTATGTTTTGATGATAACTCTAATGAAATTTTGTATTAAGAAAATATATACTCTAATTTTGTTCAAGTATTTTTGTTTCAGATATTAAATTAAAAGTTTTTATGGAAGCAAAAATGCATCTGAACAGTACTCTACGCAAAGCTCTGAAGCATCAGAAGCAAGTGATCAGAAAACTCTGAGCGTTGTCAGAAGACTCTGAAGCAGAAGCTGCAGAAACATCTGAAGCGTAGTTGAAGAATTTGTATGAAGAGTGTCAAACATTGTTTCAGAAGACTCTGAATGTACTTTACGCTGCAAGTATAGAGGCTCTGATAAACAAGTATGCTCTGATCAGATCACTCACGCTGAAGCACTGTTGCTGCAACTCTGATATCATTGAATCTGATCTGAAGAACAAGAAGCACATTAGAGGATCTGATGTTGTTTACATTTGAAAATATGTCAGCGCGTGAATAGACTTGGTACTATTCTCAACGTCCTCTCCAACGGAACTATTCCTTATTTGTGATAGACACAAGGATTCAGACAAAAGGCATTTCTCTGAACATTCCACTTCTGAGAAAAGAAAAGTCATGTGAAGACAAAAGGCTACAACTATTCTACTTGCACAGTCTCCAAGCATTGAACTTTCAGCACTATAAAAGGACGTCTTCAACATTTTTTCAAGGTTAACGAATCACCAACGAATCTTGAACAAATTATTCAACAACTCTCATACAATCTTTCTTACTCAAAGCTGAATAATTTTTATTCGTTCTTAATCTAAGTGTAAAAATCACAGTTTGTGATATAGCTTTTTAGAAGCAACTTAAACACTTGTTAGTTTACATTTATTTGTAAAAAGTTCCTTAAGAAGACCAAGTTGTGGTCAGAATTTCTTGAGAAGACTAAAACAGTTGTTCTTAGTGGTTGACACTGTAATCTGTTTGAATATAGTGGATTAAGTCCTTATGGAGAAAGGCAAATCACCTTGATAAGGTGGACTGGATTAGTTGAGTTCAATGAACCAGGATAAAAATCCTGTGTTGCTTTTATTGCCATATTTTTCAAAAACCCTTATTCAACCCCCCTTCTAAGTGTTTTTCTCACCTTCAGTTGACATCAGAGCTCCGGTTCTGTTAGTGCTCTCACTTCACCGTGAACAGAAAAGATCCAGTTGAGAAAACTCTTGATATATTTTGGTTGATACATTATGGCTGAAGCTTCAACATCCAACAACAACATATATGAGGACAAAGATAGAATCAACACTAAACCCCCTATGTTTGATGGGGAGAAGTTTGACTACTGGAAAGACAGGATTGAAAGCTTCTTTCTAGGATATGATGCTGACCTTTGGGATTTAGTCATTGATGGCTATGTTCACCCCACTGATGGGGATGGCAAAAAGATAGACATAAAATCTATGACTGAAGCTCAGAAGAAAGAATTCAGGAATCATCATAAAGCAAGAACCATATTACTAAATGTTATATCTCATACTGAGTATGAGAAAATTACTAACAGAGAAACAACATTTGGCATGTTTGAATCTTTGAAGATGACTCATGAAGGGAATTCTCAAGTCAAGTAGACCAAGGCTCTGGTGCTGATCCAGAAATATGAAGCCTTCAAAATGAAGGAATCTGAATCTGTAGAAGTTATGTTCTCTAGATTCCAGATTCTCACAGCTGGCTTGAAAGTTCTGGACAAGGGTTACTCCACTGCAGATCATGTTAAGAAGATCATCAGAAGTTTGCCAATCAGATGAAGACCAATGGTCACTGCTCTGAAGCTAACAAAGGATCTGAACAAGATCACGCTGGAGGAACTGATCAGCTCTCGGAGGAGTCATGAGATTGAACTAGAAGAAGACGAAACCCAGAAAAAAGGTAAGTCTGTTGCTTTAAAGTCTAACAAATCTGCCAAAGCTTTGCAGGTTTTAGAAGAAAGTTCTGAAGAATCTTCTTCTAAAGAAGAAGATGAATTGTCCCTGCTGTCCAGAAGGATCAACAAACTCTGGAAGCATAAACAGAGGAAGTTCAAGAACTTCAAGAAACCAGATCAACGTAAAGATTCTTCTGGACACAGAAGATCTGGAAAGAAAGAAGTTGTCTTCTATGAATGCAAGGAACCTGGGCACTACAAGAATGAATGCCCAAAGCTTCAGAAGGAGAAGCCAAGAAGGAAGTCTGATCATAAAAAGAAAGTTCTAATGGCAACCTGGGATGATTCAGATGCATCTGAATCTTCATTAGACTCAGATGAGGAATGTGCAAACATGGCACTCATGGCTGAGGTAGAAGACCATGCAGAAACATCTGGATCAGAATCAGAATCAGATTCTGAG